AATATCAATAGGAGGTGATTAGTCCATGAAGCATCTTCAGGATTACTGCCCACAATGCCCTTATAATAGAGACCTCAGGGAGCTTGATTCCTTCTTCTGCGATGTACAATGAGATATAATCATATTTGAGAAGTGAGCTCTCATTGGACACAAAATATGTTGACACATTGTTCTTGGATTTCTAAGCCTCAACATATGAACAACTTCTATTGTTCATAAAGTGCCAGTGCTAATATATCTGTTATAGCAGCCCAAGTTTACTAAGATATACCACAACCTCTTAAGCCAATTGCTGGTTCAGTTTACCCAGAATACTGATGGGTACATATTAGTATTTGCAAATGGAAACTTCAAAAAATTTCAAACTCAAGGAAATGAAAAAGATAGCAAATTTATTTTACATGTACACATTTTCAACCACTGGAAAACTGTATTTATAAGTTTTCAAAAATATTTTATGCTATGGAAGCACTAATATTAGGCAAGATAACATATTTCTTGTAAATATTATAGTATGGGGCTTTTTGGAAACCTGGTTTCCTATCTAGGTGAAGTTGGACAAAACAGCATCTGTTTGTCTCAGTTTCCTCACAAGTGAAGTGAAGATATCACATTACATATGTACCGATTTCTATGAATGGAAGTTCTCATATTCCCTTAGTTACAAATCTTTCAGATTGATCCCCTTCTTTGGGGCCTGGCTTCTCCAGCTCAGCACTGTGGGACACTTGAGCCAGGCTATGCTTTTGTGGTGGTGTGTCCTATTTATTCTATATTTAATTACATCCCTGGCAGCCACTCACTAGATGCCAGCACCTCTGCCAGTTGTGGTAATACAACACCTTTGGAATAACTTACTAGCAATTTTCTCTGAAGGTAAAAATGAAACAACGCTAAGGATTTCAATTATTATCAGTACTAGTATTTTTTTATTTTTCTACAAATTGTGAGTATATTGTGCATATAGAAAAGGTGGACTGCATAATTTTTTTATTAGAGTTAATCAGTCCTACGGCAAAAATTAAAGTAGCACCATTGCCTCTCCTTACTATAAACCTCTGATATATCCTTCTTCCAATCACTACTGGGATCTTTTAGAGACATTAAGACAAATTATAAAACACAAGAGGAAATTTAAATGGTGAGACTGTAAGCTCATTTTCCGTGTGATTTAACCCAAACAACAAAGTCCTGTAAAGACAATAATCAGAAGCCACCACAAGCGAGTGGGCGACTCAGTCTTGCCCAGACTTGGATTGTATTTTCATCTGAATATGTATTGGTCTCCAGAACTCATGTAAAGGTCTAGTCCAAATCATACATTAAAGATGTTAGGAGGATGGAAACTTAATCTGACTATGATGTTTAGAGATGGGGTTTCAGGGTTGTGAACAGAGTAAACCATGTTTTCATTTGAATGAGTTTCCCCCAAAGGTCTGTATATGTAAACATGGTCCCCAAGGTGGTGGCATTTGGAGGTGTTCTGGACCTTAAAGAAGAAGGGCCTAATGAGAAGTCTTCTGGTCACTGGCAGTGTGTCTGTGCATCCTTAAAAGGGACTGTGGGACCTGGCTTGTTCTCTCTTCCTCTCCCTTTATCTGTCCCTCTTCTTCTTCCTCTCCTTCTCCATCTCCTTCTCCTGCTCCATTTCCTTCCCTCTTCTTCTACCATGATGTGCTAAATATTTTGGGCTACATGACCTTGGACTTGCCCATTGGAACCATGAGCCAACATAAGCCTCTTCTTATTTCATAAGTTGCCCATGTCAGATATTACTTTTGGTAATGTCAAGCTGAAAGATTCATTGAGAAAAAGTTTTTCTTCTGGAGAAAAAGCCCTATCTTAAGAAAAACCAAAAGACTTTGAATTTGAGGAAGTCAGAATGAGAGGGCAGCCAGGGCATGACCCCACCAGTAGGGCATTTATCAGTGATACTCAAGATGGATGAACAATTGATATGTTTAATGCCCTCTGAGAAAACAATTTCATGCCCTTCCACTTATAGCTAACACCTCTTAGCAAGGGAGCAGTTCAGATTTAATCTAAATTTCTCATCCTGAGACTCACATTTAGTTGCTTTTTTTTTATATTGTCAGAGGTGAAAATCTGATAACTTCCTTCCTCGAAGCAATCCCTCAAATATGTGTAGATTCTGTTCTTACAGACATCACCTCAAAGCTGTTATACATTACTCAGAGGAGCTATGTTCTTGCAATTTTTCCCCTTCCAGCCATTTACTCACACAAACTTCTTCAACTCACTGGCCTCTGAAAGCCCTAAAAGACACATACCCCTCTCATAATACATCATTGCTAACTAAGAGTGACCTCCTCTGCCATAAGGGCACTGAGAGATCATGAGAGAGACTGGCCTGCAAAAGCATGTGACTAAAGGGTGGAGAGTCTTCTCTAGGCAGAACTCTGCCATTGGGTGCCTTTTCCCTTCTAGGGCTACTTTTCAACTTCCTTGCATCCAATACTCAGTGAAATTTGGAGGATTCTGTATCATTATTCATGAAAAATGTCAGTCATGACACTGCTATTTTGTCCTCCCACCTTCTCTCCACTTATCCCTGCGTTATTCTCATTTTTCCTTTTTTTCTAATTTTCATTTTCCTTCCCTTCTTCTGTTTCTTCTCCCTCCCAACTCATCACTTTGTAGGGTCCCAATAATGGCACCTAACATCACTGTCATCTTCCTCGTTGCCAATAGTGCCCCTCAGCTGGGATAAGCAAAGATGGTAGTTTTCATTTTCAAATGTCAGAATCACTTCCTCATACTCTCCATGCAATATTTTATTATCACTCTTAGACCACTGAGCATTGCTTTATTCTTGTTTTTGATTTATTGTCTGTTCCATCAAATTAAATACAACATCCATAAGAGAAATACTACATCTATACTGTCCACACTTACATGCCAGCCAGGTAATTATTATTATATATGACTTTGGTCCAATGGATGGATGTTGGATGGATGGATGAGTTGCTGACACCATTTTTAGTCTGGTGACTTGTTTTATTTCAAGGATACATTTACTTGCAGCTATATCACAACCATAAACCTAGCCAAGCTTAATGGTCAACTCCTTCTCAGGCCATGTAATGAAATTAAAAGTAGCAGACACTCCTTTGCTGCCCACCCACCACAAGTTATCACCTCCAAAAGACATGTAAAGACCCCAGCTAATGTGATCTTAAATGAAACTTCTGAGTCTGAAAAACATGAATATGAAACATAAATATGAAAGAAAGAACTTTAAAAGTATAAGTACTTTTAAAACTATCTTTAAAATCCAGTGCTGGACTGTTTAGATTTCTGTGTTGCTATAGACTCCAAACCTCATCTTTAACTCGCTGCAGCGCGTCCACAAAGGAACAGAAGTGTGAGCTGTATCTGAAGGGTATCGTGCTTCATGCACCCTCTTCACACTCCCACTCCTTCGGATTCACATCTCTCTTCCTTGGAAGCCTGGAGAAACGACTGTTCCTTGAGAGGATGTCAGTAAATCACACCTTCTTTTATTCATACCCTTGTGCAAAAAAATTAACACATTCATTCTGGGCTTGGCCATATGTGATGCCTTTGACCCATGGGCTCTAGATGGGCCTGATGCAAACAAGCCAAGGAATATTTGCATTTTGAGATTTTTCTTTCAGAATATACACTCTTGAAATGCTTCCTTGTAGAAGCCAAACACCACGTTATAAGTCAAACCACATGATAAAGGACTACATAGATAAGAACCTGAAAATCCACTTAAATTCCACTGCAGCTCTTAGTGGCAGCCAGCAGTAGTTTGCCTTCTATGACTGAACTGAAAGAGTTGCTGGTCCAGACCGGACACTTCAACCAGGAAAAGCTGCAGCCAAGCTAGGGGGCTCCTGACTCCCTCGCCCCCTATAGATTTACCTGTAACCCTATACCCCCATCCCTAGGAACCTGTTTCTGGCGCTAAACGTGTGCCAATGAAATACCTGTGCAGCTCTAATGGCCTTAGGGCACTGCCCTAAGCTTAGGCTATTTATATTCCCCCACGCCACGTGTCCGAGAGAGAGATCGCCAGATTCCAGCGGCCAGTGCGCCAGTCTCCTCTCCCCGTGTTCCCAGAATAAAGGCCTCTTTTGTCTTATATTCCTCAACTTTTGGAAGCATCTTTTATCCTTTGAAGACAATCCTATCATTTGGTGCCCTGTGACTCGATCGGCAGCGATTGACTCGGGACACGTGCCCAATTGGGTCCCCCTGCCGATTCACGAACTGAAACCATCATGGCTTAACTCTGTGCTCCTCCTGCCAGGATGCATTCCATCTCCTGCCAGCCGTGTCCACTCACTGCCGCCCTGATTGATTTAAGGTGAGCACACTCCAAAAGACTCTTATCACTGGGCCCGGACCCAGTCGACTGGTCTCTCCCCCCTTCACGTTAGCCCCGCCGCATGGCGCACAGGTTGCTGATAGCTTTTCCTTTGTGCCACCAGATTTTTGCCTGCCTTATTCACCGATGGGTAATTTACTTCCTACATCCCAAAAAACGCCTTTACAATGTTTAATCTCCAATTTACGTACTTTAAAAATTAAAAATACCATAAAAACTAAATTATTAACTTTTTACTGCCAGGAAGTTTGGCCTACCTACCCCCTCCTTGGCAAACGCTGGCCTCCAGAAGGGACATTTGATGTTTCAATTCTACAAATGCTCTATGATTTCTGTAAGGCCAGCGATAGAGTCATGGAACTCCAATACATAGAGGCATTTTTGGTTCTGAGGATGCGCCAATCCCTCATTAAATCTTGTGCTCCTGCTGAGATCCTTTTGGCCACTTCTACCGCGGCTCAAACTTTTCCATCCTGCCCTCAAGATTCGCTTGAAGATGTTCCCCTGGTCTTTAGGTCATTGCCACCTGCTTACACAGCTCTTTCTATCCCATTACCCCTCGCCGGCCATCCCCCTGTGCCCAGTTCCCTCAGTTGTGCGAGTCACAATGTGTCACAGTTACCTTCTGCTGTGCGATCGTCTCCCCCTCCGCCTTCCGCGATGCAGGCTCCTCCTGGCGGCTCTGCTCCACCTTCTGATACCTTCTCACCGCCCGCGTTCCACACTAGGTCACGTTCGTTGTGCCCCGCCGGCACACAGCGTGATTTTTCTAGCTTGCGCGGACAGTCTCCATGCCCGCCATGCTCTGGCAGCTATACCGGTAACAGGGCGCTGCCATCTTCCGGAAGTTCAGGCAAGCCACATGGCGACGGATCGCCACTGGGTTCAGATCGTTGTTATGGCGATGGGCCACCGCCATGCTCAGAGGGGTCACATGGTATGCCGCCATGTTCGTTTGGTTACCATGGCAACAGGGGGCCACCATGTTCTTTCTGGTCTCATGATCAACGGGCGCCCTCTAGTGGCTCCCCTTGTAAGCATCAACACGCTGTCACGCTCATTTTAAGCCACACAATACAACGTCATCTGCCTATACTTCCTCCTCACAGGGTAAACAGCAGCTGCTCTGTAGCCGCTCTTCAGATAACTACTCACACGCCTCTACTGGGCAGATAGCTGCCCAGTGGCACTCTCCTCTGCATCCCTCTCCTCAGGCTCTGCTGCCACTTCGGGAGCAAACTGGCCCCCGAAGGCCTCGTAAATATTCATGTGCCATTTTCTCTTTCTGATTTGTCTCAGATTACCCATAAATTGGGCAGCTTTTCTGTCGACCCACAAAATTGTATCAGACAATTTGAATTTATTACCAATTGCTATGATTTACATTTTAAAGATGTTTATGTGATTTTAAATACCACCCTTAGCTCACAAGAGTGAAATCAGCTGTGGCAAGCAGCTCGTGAGGAGGCTGACCACAGACACAGGACAAATATGGTTGATAATGACCCTGGCCCTGTAGCTGTGCCTGACCAGGACCCTAACTGGAACTATCAAAATGGTCAAGGTTCAAGAAAATTACATAAGATGATAGAGTGTCTGATTGTGGGCCTTAATAAGATTGCTCACAAACATACTAATTATAACAAGCTTTTAGAACAGGTCCAAGAGGCTAATGAAAACCTGGCTGTGTTTCTGAATCGGCTCCAGGAAACCTTAAGTAAATATACCAATGTAGACCCAGACTCTCATGAAGGGATGATTGTAGTTAATTCCTATTTTATTTCACAGTCTGCTCCTGATATTCGTGCAAAACTACAAAAGGTTGAACAAGGCCCTCAGACTCTACAAGGAGATCTACTTAAATTAGCCTTCTGTGTCTTCAACAACAGAGACAAGCTTCAAAAAGAGGAGAAGCAAGCTCAAAAATTAAGGCTTGCTAAATATCAGTCTGACCTCTTAGCAGTGGCACTCAGGGCTCCCAAAACAAGAAATCCACAACAAGGTGTGGCTGCCCAAGTTCTGCCCAGATCATGCTTCAAATGCAACAAGCAAGGACACTGGGCACGAGACTGCCCCAACCCTGGCACTCCTCCTGGGCCCTGCCCAATCTGCAAAATGAAGGGCATTGGAGGAACGATTGTCCTAGGCACCATCGAGCGACTAGGCCATTCTCTAATCCCTTGCTCTCAGAGGAGGCTTCGTCAATGCCAGATTCATCGCTGACTGACCTGCTCAGACTTGCTACAGAAGAATGATGGGGCTCGGGCCTCACAACCCCCACTCCAGTCACCTTGACGGAGCCCCGAATCTCATTGGAGGTCTCAGGCAAAATAATATCTCTGCTTGTAGATACGGGGGCCCCACCTATCGTGTGCTTCCTGAATTTTCAGAACATTGTACTAAGTCTCTGATTTCTGCTGTGGGCGTTGACAGCCAGCCAAATCAACCTTTACAGACTGGGCCTATCCCATGCAGATTCCAGACCCTTTTCTTTACCCATAGCTTCCTAGTAATCCCAACATGTCCCATGGCCCTTTTAGGTAGAGACCTTCTTCAGAAGCTTAATTTTTCCTTCACTTTCTCTCTCCCCACAGCTCTAATCCTCCAAACTGACTCACAATGCGTCACAAAGCCATCCCCCCCTCTTCCTCCTTCTTTGGTTGACCCCACGGTCTGGGACACAGCCAATCCCACTCTGGCTACACATGCCACACCTGTTTTAATCCATCTCAAGGATCCCTCAATTTTTCCCTGTGTTCCCCAATACCCCATAGCCCCCCAACATTTAAGGGGGCTTAAACCCATCATTAAGTGGCTTTTAGACAATGGATTTCTTAAACCTACCCATTCACCCCACAATACTCCCATTCTCCCGGTGCTCAAGGGTGATGGGTACTATCGCCTGGTACAGGACCTTAGGGTGATCAACAGTGCCGTTACCCCAACTTACCCAGTGGTGCCAAATCCTTATACCATGCTCTCTCATATCCCTCCCTCCACTACTCACTTTACAGTTATAGATCTTAAAGATGCCTTCTTCACTATCCCCCTACACCCTGATTGCCAGAACCTCTTTGCGTTTACATGGACTGACCCAGACACTCTCAGGTCTCAACAACTTACTTGGACAGTACTCCCCCAGAGGTTCAGGGATAGTCCCCACTTCTTTAGTCAGGCTCTTGCTACTGACCTCACAGAACTCAATCTCAAACCTAGTGTTCTTCTCCAATACATAGACGACCTCCTATTATGCTCTCCATCCCATATGTTGGCCATACGCCACTCAGCCAGTCTTCTTAATTTCCTTGCTAGCCGTGGATACAGGGTGTCTCCCACCAAAGCCCAGATAGCCTCCCCAAAAGTCAAATACCTAGGTCTTGCTCTCACCCCCACCACTCGCTCCATCACCTCAGATCATAAGGCAATTCTTCGTGATCTCCAGGTGCCCACAACTAAACGGCAGGTTACATCTTTCCTAGGTTTAGCTAATTTCTTTCATCTTTGGATTCCTAACTTTGCAGCCCTAGCTCAACCCCTCTACAAGGCTGCTAAGGGTTCCTTATCAGAACCCCTGGACCCTACTAGGACCATACATGCTCTCCTAAAAGCTCCAGCTCTTACCCTTCCTGATCCCACCCAACCTTTCATCCTATACACTATTTGTCAGGGCCACAACGCTATAGGTGTACTAGGACACAAAAGGGACCTTCTTTTCAAGCAGTAGCTTACTTATCTAAACAGTTAGATCACACAGTAAAAGGATGGGCTCCTTGTCTCCGAGCTCTTGCAGCTGCAGCCCTCCTGACACAGGAAGTTAAAAAGTTTACATTAGGGCAATCTATTACAGTACACTCACCTCATCACCTATGTGACCTTATCTCACATAAGGTGCTCCCCGCCCTAATGACCCCTTCTCACCTTCAACAGGTACACTTAGCTCTCTCTCAAGACCCTCGCATCTCTATTGCAACTAGTGGTCCTCTCAATATAGCGACCTTACTTCCCACCTCAGAAGGCCATCCTCACCATGACTGTATAGAGTTTTTACAGATGACTCCCACTTCTTTCCCTCACATCAGTAACACACCTCTCTCCTTGGCCTTTGACACATGGTTCATAGATGGCAGTTCAACAAACACAGACAACCAAAAGAAGGTGGGATACACAATAGTTAACCAGTCAAAAGTTATAGAGGCAAATTCGCTGCCACCTGGGACCTCTTCCCAGAGGGCAGAACTTATTGCCCTTACAAGGGCCCTTACACTAGCAAAAGACAAGATTATGAATATATACACTGACTCAAAGTATACATTTAGCATCTTACACTCTCATGCCTCTATCTGGCAAGAATGGGGTTTTATTTCCACTCAAGGAACCCCCATTATTAATGCCCCCCTTATCCTTAAGCTTCTAGAGGCAGCCCAACTTCCAAAGCAGGCAGCAGTCATCCATTGCAGAGGACACCAAAGCTCTACAGATCCTATTGCTCAAGGCAATGCCTTTGCAGATTCACAAGCCAAGTTAGCTGCACAAGGGCCCTGCCCTTCTCATCTTCTCCCGTTAGTCCCAAGCAGTCTACCTCAGCCCAATTATTCACCAGAGCAGTTACAGCTACTTCATAAATCAGGTTACACACAAAACACTCAGGGATGGATTTTTCAGGGATCTAAACTTGTTCTCCCACATCAATAGGCCTCAGACATCATCACTGACTTACACAACTGTTTTCATATAGGATCTCAGGCCCTATACAAACTTTTGGCCCCAATAGTCACACACCCTTCTCTAAAAGCCATCATTCTTAAAACGACTCACACCTGTGATCTCTGTGCCAGAACCTCTCCTCAGGGACACATGGCACCCCCTTCTTTTCCTACCCATCAATTTCGGGGACACACCCCTGGTCAGGACTGGCAGATAGATTTTACACACATGCCCAGCCACAAGACTCTCAAATATCTTCTCACTTTTGTTTGCACCTTTTCAGGATGGATAGAAGCCTTTCTTACAACCAGTGAAACTACTGAGGTAGTTACCAAAGTCATATTACAAGAAATCATTCCGAGGTTTGGTCTACCTCAGAGTATTCAGTCAGATAATGGTCCCACCTTCATTTCTCAGATCACTCAACAAGTATCCTCGAGCTTATACATTACCTGGCACCTACACACCCCATACCATCCACAATCTTCAGGAAAAGTAGAAAAGGCAAATGGCCTCATAAAGACACACCTTACAAAATTCACTTTAGAACTACACCACACTTGGCCTCAACTTTTGCCCTTAGCCTTAGCCAAGCTCAGGGCACTTCCCTGGCCTCCTACTTTCTTAAGTCCTTTTGAACTTATGTATGGCAGGCCATTCTTAATCCACAATCTTCCTGCTCCCCAAAATCTCCCTCCCTTGGCTGACTATGTCCCAGTCCTCTCCTTCCTCCGACACCTGTTGCAACAACATGCTGATCTCTGCCTTCCACAGCGATCTGGAGAGGCCAAACCAGATCCTCCCATATCTCCAGGAGATCTAATTTATCTCAAATGTTCTAAATCCACAGGACTACAACCAAGGTGGAGTGGCCCTTACCTGGTCTACTTGGCTACCCCTACAGCGGTCAAAGTTGCTGGACTCCCATCCTGGTTTCACATCACTCAGGCTAAAAGGTGCCCTCCCAGCACCAAATCTGATTATTCTGAGTGGTCATCTCATCTTCTGTCACCCACCCTTCTCCGTTTCACAAAGGCCTCACAGCCGCAGTTAACAGGCTAAGTCATGTTTTGTTATCCAATTTGGTTCCTAATTTCTTACGCTCTATTAATGATCATTTTTGCAGCAGGACTCTTGACAGTCTTTCCTAGAGACTCTCACATCATGTGTAAGATCATCTTTATAATGTTCTATGTGATAACTGTCGTGGTTCTTTCCACCCTCAGCTGTCTGGTTAAACGTGACATCCCTGAAAGCCTAAGCTCTCACCTTCCCTATATTGGTACAGCCACCGTCTCCCATACTCCCCCTATTTTATCCGGCTCAACTCCTAGACCAGAGACAAGTTTTAGACACCCACCCTCCTAACTTTTATGCTTTCAGATGGGGGAGTAATCACCTCTCATAATTTCAATAACCTCACACTTTTTTTTTCAGAATTCTACCTCACCATGATGATGTTCCTACCTCAACGTCACCCTGATAAAAATACCATCTCAAAATCAAAGGCACCTTCCTATCTATCTAACCTGGGTCCTTAAATATAATAGTGCCATGTCTCCTAATAACATCATGTCTCTTTGTTTTTTCCAGTCTGACATACGTACATTCACCAGTGAAGTTGTCCTGGCTAAAACACCTGGCATCAGTGTCTA